AGAAACTGAGAAGAATCATTACAATAGATACAGCAACATCAGAACTGCATTTTTGAAAACCAGAGAAAGGAATATTGATGTAAATGAGAAGGGAGATGAGCCTAGACAAGAATTTTAGCTGAATGGGCAGATAGGAAAGCTGCATGTGAGGTGTGTTTTGCATTGAATCTTTCAGACATAACTTCAGTGGCAGGACCTGCAGCAAGGTCTGAGTTGAGGATGATGTCCTTTGTATGGGCATGAGTGACAGGGGGTGGTCTCAGGAGGTAGGCATGTGGAGCCAGGGTAAAGGTGGAAAGATCTCTCTTTTAGCTCTGTCAAGCTTGAGCTGACAAAAATCTACAAAATGACATTTTTTTCTTAAGTTAAAATAGCTATTTGATTAAGGGGTTGCAGGACTGGAACTTAACACAGAGTGGGGAGGAGAGGGTGCGGAAGGCAGGAGTCTGCTGCCTGTGAATATCTGTATGAGCACAGGTACCTTACGTGGGACCCGACTGCAACAGAAATACATAGATCCATCTTTCCTAATCCTTGGACTTAACAACTGCATCCTGTATCAGCAAGCAAAAGAGGGAGTAGGGCTCATCTCTACCTAATCCTAAAAAAAAGACACACATTACTTAGCCTGACAATTCACACAGAACTGAAGATATAGGTAGCCCTAATTCTAATATTTCTTAACCTTTGCAATCTTATTATATATATTTCTTTAATTCAGAAGGCTCTTCTATTGAAGATATATATGGTTCTCTTTTACTTTTCCTGGACTCTTTTACAACAGGTGTACCACGTAATCAAAAAAAACCCCATAATTAATGGACTGAGGCTGAGTGTGGCTGAAGGTGTGGAAGAAATATCTTGATATCTGATGGGAACATTCCCTGGCAGCATTTGCCTGCAGTAGACCTCGTAGCAGTCCGCAGTTTATTATTTCGAAGTCTTATTGTTCAGAGACTATTGATACTGAATTTCCTCCCTTTGTAATTGAAAACAGCAATGACATCTGATTCAGTCTTTTTCTCTTTATATTTTACCATATAATACTAGACAAAAGAGCAGAGATCGCTGAGAGAGGTGCTTGCTGTAATGGCACAGTTAAAGAGTGAAAGCTGGAACAATTCTCTTTGGAAAGATATTTGAAGAGGTCAGTCTCCCTACTATAGATGGTGATGTTTTGATGGACAAAAAAAGGGTTTGCTGTTTGGATTCAGACAGGTAGGTCATGGCTTTAACTGCCTGCTCACTGACAGGAAAAAAAAAAAAGATACAGGATTTTATACTATTATTTCTCCATTCATAGTTGATGGATGAGTTAAAAACATACTTACTCTTGAGTTTATTCCCTAGATGAGGAAATGTTGTATTATTGTATTTCTTTCTTTGAAAACTCGACACTTTCATTAAACTAAGCATGATATTTTTAAGGTAATTTATGTGAGTGTGACTGTATTCTCTGCTGACTTGCTATTGTGTCACTCCTTCTAAAATGGTCTTTACAGAACCACAACAAAGATTCTTTTTTTCTTAGGGCAAAAGTACAGTCAGAAGATATTATTTTCTCTCTTTCTCCAGCAGTTGAAGAGCAGCACTGAAATGGAGATTCAGACACCTACTCCTGCAACAGGCTGGGCACTGAAGGCTCGACCTGAAGAGAACCACTGGAATGCTGAGATAATTGAAAGACTTGACGTGCTTGACATGACCTGATATACTGAAATATTTCTAGGCATTTTTTAAGTATTATGTTAGTGATGGAACTGCCATGACATGTTCATTCTAGATGTACTATTTCAGCTCTTCATAATTTTGCTTGAAAAATGACATTTTAAGATAATTTTTTGTATGTATATGAGGGTAGTACTTAAAGGTGCTAAACTGACAACATTTACAATCTATTTAATGCATATAGCAATGTCAGTACAGTGCCCAGCTCCCAGCAGTGTGCCATCAATACCTTATTTCTTCAACCAAAAAGGCAACTGAACATTTCAACGCCCTTGATTATGTGCTGAGATTGGCAAAGGCCTTGCAGAAATAAGGGGATCAGACATTCTCTCTGAAGGCTTCTTTCATTTGGAGCATAAATTCTCCCTTCTTTTCCCCTTATTTGAAATAGTCTGACTCTACTAAAGGAGGTTAGCATCTGCCACGGGGGACTTATCTTTTAATAGACGTTTTAATAGCCAGAAACTTCCAAAGAATGATGATCAAAGGTTAAACTGGTAGTTCTAGTTAATTTCTATTCTGTATGTTTTATTTACTTCTAAATTTGGAGGATTTGTTGGTAAGCATTATGTTTGTAGTGCTCAGAAGTTTAGGGAAACAGTGAATAAATTTTAGGTACTTCACAGTTCTTTTCATTTTATTGATGTGGGGTTTTTTGTTGAGGAATGAGGGCAAAGTATGCAAGCTGACTACAACAGATAACAAAGAACATGTGCGTGCTATTTTCAGAAATAAAAGTAAGTGTGAATATTCCTTTGGAGGGGGGGAAAAAAGGAGAGGAAGAATAAAAAGAAACATTTGGGACAAGAAAGAGTAAGACAGAAGGGCTAGGGCTGAGAGGGCTCGAGTCATGGGACAGAGTACAAAGAGGGAAGGAGGAAGGAGCGTTTGGGCAATGTGAGGTGCTGATGAGGAGCAGGGCCAGGCAGCCATTAATTAACTTCTGCTTGATCACCTATTCTTGCCAGAACTGTGTAAGTAGAAACTCGAATAATCCTAGCATTGCAGACTGCCCCAGAGAGCTCAACTGAAAGCTAGACAGCCCATACATCTGCTTTGACTTTCATGTTTAAAGTAACTGTAAGTTCCTCCACTGCTCTACAGGGCGCTCCCCTCCCCTTGCCTGTGTTATGTGCTGAAAGCCCTCATTCTTCGAAGCTGTCTGTGTCCCTCAGTCTGCTCTTCTATATAAAGCCAAATTTGGGGTCAGTTCTGTTTACCTTCCCCTTACATGTGATTTGAGTTGTCCTGCCAATCACCTCGTATGGGGCAGGATCAGGGGCTTGTCCCTTGGGAGGCAAGGGATAGTGCAGAACTTGTTGCTGCACATGTCAGCATGGATCTGCAGAGTCTGAACGAGGGGATCTGAGCCCTGCTACTTGTCCTTAAGACTGCAATTGTGTGCAAAGAGAAAGTAGGATGGGGATGCCAGTTAAAGGAAAAAAAAACCCTTAAGGAGTGAAAATCTAAGACATGCAACTCCTACTGAACAGGGAAACTGATCAGAGCTTTGAAGGAAAGACTAGGCTGCACAGGCCGATAGCATATTTGGGTAGGGCTGGCAAAACCAGATTCAGGAAAGGAGTTCATTGTGCAGTCAGGCTACCTATGGAGCCAAAGAATTGGTGGAGGAGGTGCCTGTGTGAACACATCAACTATTGATGTGATAATGTGCTACAAAAAAAAAAGGGAAATTCAAGCACAGAATGAACATAGAATTCACGTATTTCTTGAGAATTTTCTGCCCTTCCAAAATACTCAAAATCTGAAACACAGAAAATTATTCTAGGAAGTATTTCAGATGCATAATTACATCATACACTAACCAGCCATCTCTATGCTCTATTTAAAAGAAGACGACTATTACACCCATAATGCACTACCTGTCTTTGCAATACCAAGAGGCATTTTGGCTCTGGGAAGACTTGCATGGGTGATACACGCAGAGCAGTGCTGAACGTAGTGCAGGCTCTTGTCATGGACCATGTGCTTGCCAAACTTTACCTTCCCTCCATGCTGCATCGTGGAACTGGTTTGACCTTACTTGCATTTATCCATCGCTAAACACACATCTTCCAATAATGCTCTTACAATTCTGTTGCAAGCTTGCATGTTTATCACTATTCTTGATCCTCAAGCTCTTGAAGTTGTAGCAGCATGTCAGAAAGTCAGTTCTTTAAGAAGTCCCTGTTCTTCTAATTATAAAAACAAATTTGGGGAAAAAGCCAAAAACCAGATTATTCCCTCAGTTTTTTTAAACACTTCACAAAGGTTTTGTGCAGCTTTTACATGTGGGACTGGCAATAGCGGGCGCACGCAGGGGCTGGGGGTGGCTCTCGCGACTGAGGTGGTGGTGGAACTGTTGCAAAAGGCAACGGCCCTGCATTGCTCTCCTTCACCATCCATCTCTCACCATTAGGTTTTGTGGTTAGCTCCTGGACTCGTGTGATGTGGTCAAACAAAAATCCGTGTTTTTTGTTTTTTTTCTTTTTTTCCTGAATGCAACGGCTTGCTGTTTTTCAAGAGTGCAAGAATAAGCTCGACAATGCAACGAAGTCCACAAGCAACTGATCTCTTAGAATAGGGGTTAAATAAAAGCAATTTGATAACGCTTCGTTTCCACGCGGGGGGAGGGGGTGGGTGGGAACAGAGGAAGTGCCAGACTATTTTTTGAGCTGTTTTTCAGAGTAAATGAGATCCTGAACAGGCACCCCCTGAGAATGAATAGGTCTGCACTGAGACTCTAAGCGCTCCTGACTCCTGGGACTACCCGCACCTCTCCCGACCGGAGGTCCCAGCGCTGTTCGGGATGCTCCGTGCCCTCGCCCCCGCCGCGGCGGAGGCGGGAGGCGCCGGGCGGAGGCCGGGCACTGCCCGCTCCTCGGCTTCACCTCGCGCCGCGCAGGCGCCCTGGGGCCGCGCATGCGCGGC